TTACAAAAAAACAAACAGTTGCTGCACCACAGCATGTGACCATTTGTGACACGTCAAAGTTAAGTGCTGTGTGTCAGGCTTTCAACAACAAGCTCAGAAATCAAGCTGCCCAATTCTTCATCGCTTCCGACAACAGAGCAGTGGATCGGCAAATCCAGCTGGAAACATCAGATGTTGACTTACAGCTTTGATGGGACATCGCTCGGAAATCGAAACGAGCAAACAGTTTAGGGTTTGGTGACATGAAAATAAATGCAGATGTGTTGTGAAGCTTCCAGCTAGACTTTCAGGAGGAACTCATTTGAGAGAGAGAGAAGGAAACATGTTGGACAAACTACAGCAGTCTGCAGCAAACTCAATTTCGAAACAGTCACAAAGCCACTTATAACACTGTTATGGTCAATGACTGATATTTACAGATGTTGCACATATATCTTACTACCCTTTCCAATCTTCTCTTTTACCCTTCCTAAATAAATAGCAACAAGGTGAACATAAATATTGTTTAATAAACATGCAAATCCAACTGATACCAACATGTTAAGAAATTACTGATATCAGCAATACCTATTTTTAGTGCTGATAGTAAAAATGCGCTACATTTATTAGCTAACTACCAAAAGACGGCTACAAACAGCTATTCTTAAAAATCGCATTGCTTTTTCAAATATTCATATCTTTACCACAAAGTTTAATCTGTTTAATTGGCATTTCCTGTGATAGACCAACATAAACCAGTGCTGGATTTTTAATTAGACTGAAGTTTGTGAGAAAACATCAGCAGCATTTTGAACACCAGATGGGTTAATGCTGACGTTTTGCAGAAGCTTTGAATGTCTCAAAAAGTCCTTGACTCAGTTGGCATCAATTATTAACTTTTATTTTTTTTCTCTTTTTAACAAAATATGGTACATTAAATGTCACAGAGTCTACATGTTACGTAAGAGAGTCATACTCTCATGCGTCAGGGAATAGCGCTGTTACCGTCACACTATACAAAATGGTGACAATGTTATGTTGGTTATACATCAAGCATCATGTCTGCACGCTGCTGCCACCACCATGTTGCTTTGTTTTAAAGGGATTGGGACCAAAACATTTTTACAGGCTGAAAAAGAGTTAAGATTTGAGTTAGAAGTTCACCACAACCTTAATCATCCAGCCAGAGATAAAATGAATGGTTTAGATTAAAGCTTTTCCTGTGATGGAATGGCTCAGTCAAAGTCCAGACCTAAATCCAATAGAGGCTCTATTTATTTAGCGATCCATCAGATCTGACTGAGCTTGACCTTTCTGGCAAAGAAGACTGTGGGGGGAATCAGTTTCCAGATGTTGAAAGCTGGTAGAGACATACCCCCAAACCTCTCCAACTTCTGCCAGAGGGAATGTTGTCTGTGCAAGGAACTGACTTAAGGAGGACAAATGGCACACTCTTTTCTAATTTATTTCTGTCAAATTATTTGAAAACCATACATTATTTGCATTCCAATTCACAGCTCTCCACCAGTTTCAGGTCCAGTGAATTAAACCTTGTGGTTGAGAAAATGAGAAAAAGCTGATTTCCCAAATGTGGAGCCTTTCTAATATGAATAATAAAAGTCAGAGAATACTTTTACACCACTCTTCATACTTATATTAATATAGGCTGGAATAGCAGCATGACCCTCCAAAGGAGCCAAGTCATAAAAAACAGACACCTGGTTGCTAACTCAATTCACATCCAATTAAATATCAGCCTGGAATCCTGGAGAGACCGAGCTCTGATATAAGAATGCAGACCGGAGCTGCTGCTGTTATTCACAGATCTATTATATTCACTGTTCCTTCCCTTTGACAGTCTATTTGGCAGGCAGCTCTGAACATTTCTCTGTTTACGAATTTGGACCTGTTTTGTTTTCCACAAATGGCTATTACCATGACAAGCACAAATGCCTCCCAACCCGTGGATAACTGCAACAGGCTTCTCTGTGCTGCTATACATTCATTTGTCTGGACCTTTTCTCACTTGTTTGTGCTTTGGTTAAAAAAAAAAAAAAAAAAAACGGGGGGAAGAGCCTGAAACATGCTGTATATCAATTAGGCCATCAAAGACAGGCGGGCATTTATGGTATCACCCTTTAACCTCAGGGTGAAAGACCGAATTCTTGTGTTTGCATGTCAAAAGAAACAAGTCCTACCAACTCATGTAGCAGAAGGAATTAAAGTCTCTTCTCTCCACAAAGATGTCTGCAGACATTAATTATTTAGCTGCTTTGGCATCAAATAAAGAGAAGAATATAAACATGAAGCATATTTATACAGTGTCTCAATTATGCCTCAAACCAGCTCTTGCTTTACTTGAGTAGGAAATTTCCAGGATGCTTGAAGGGCACTTTTTGAGACATTTCCTGCACACTTGATTGAACAGCTTCAAACGATTTCCAGCGCGATTCCCAAGAGACCCAGCTAATCCTGATCTTCTCCACAAGCAAAGGGATCATCTCAATATAAATCAGACAGCACGTTTGATCAAAGTATTCAATCAGACTTAAACACATGACCCCACAAGAAGCCTCGCCGCCAACAAGGTCAGAATCTCGGTTGTTCTCAAGCTACAAAAAAGGGAGCTGAACGAGGTAAAATATCCCAAAAGGAAAAATTTATTAGACATACAACTGGATAATGGAAACCTCAAATCCAGTAAACACGTCCGAACTGCAGCCAGTCGGGGGGGGAATCAATCCATCAATGCCGATCAAAACAACATTTGATATTTCTTGACCACACTTGACCCTCTTCCCTTTCTTGCTTGAAAATGAGGCTCCAGACATGTAAACAAACCGGTAAAATTTTCGACTAAGCCTTAAATGCCCCCTTAAGCATAATGGATCGCAAACACGTACGCACATGTCTCCTCGTGGGCCTGTTTTGTTTTCCAATTAGAGCCTGTCAATACAACCTGAATAATGACACTCCTTCCAATGAGTCTGATGGGCCTATTAGGCATGTGTGGAAATAATCAGAGTCACTTTGTGCAACGTTAATGTCAAGATGATCAATGTCAAAATATCACTTTCATCATCCACTTATCAGCTATCGCCCCTTCAAATATACATACATGCTCCACAGCAAAGGCATCTGAGAGGGGAGTTAAATATTAGTCATTAAAATCTTGTAAATGTGAATAAAGTATATGTGAAACAGTGTTCAGTAAATTGTCAAATTCAAACATGAGGAATTTTATTTAGGCGATAAAATCTGACTAAATATTTCGATCAATTTAAGGAAGATGTTACAATTCATTTGCTAAGACTAACATGTTTAAATATGTTATATACAAATATGAAATCCCAGAAAAAGTTATGTTATTTTGTGGGAGCAAGGGTGTAAGTTTGTATCCAAGTAATTTTTTAGCTAGCTTAGTGACGGTGCTAATGCTAAACTAACACTGGCTAGCAAGCTAAGCTTCTTAATCTCCAGGGTGTCTTTAATATGTTTATATGAGCTGTATGAACTAACATATCAATTAAGTAAAAGTTAAGAAGTAAAGATTTGTGGCTGAAAAGAATTCTGTGTTTGAGCAAGGATTTGAGTTTTTATTTATCTGGTTTAGCAACATAGCAAAAGCTAAAGTCAAACTCCCTAGCTAGCTGAGCTTCTTAACTGTAAGGCAGTCATTATTACTGAACAGCACATTTTGTCCAGACAAGAAGAAGAGATTCAAAGTTGTTATAATTGCAAACTAATTTTCAAAAACAGCGGCCCAGCCAGAAGAGCACATTTAGCCGAATATTAATTCAAATTTACATTGTTTGTGGAATATAACTGACTTCTCTGAACGTGGTTAGCAATTATATTCATATAATTTCTATTTTAATTAACATTTCCAGAAATGTTAATTAGAAAATCATTTGAAATGTATAGAATGTGCCTCAACAAATTAACTTTGCTTTATCAGTGTTGCTTTCTCCAGAACTGGCAAAAATCAGATTGGAAGACAAATGTCAACTGAATGTGAGTCATTCTTTTCCTGAAAATAGTGTTGCCACCCACCAATGGGGCTGGGTGAACATTTGCATTTGGATTTGGTATTATAACCACAACCTGTATTTTGGAACAGGTTTTGTGTTCTGTATGGTCCCTAGAGAAAAGAAAATCCATTTGACAAACATGAGAAAATTTAAAGGCAAATGAAATCATTGTTTGTAAGGAAAGTTGGAGTGGTTCATTTTCATCTGTAGCATGAGTTTATTAAATACTGCATTTTTAAGGATTTCCCACTGTTTATTTATTTATTCTCTCCTATTTTTGTGTGCCATCTTTAAATCCCCTTCACTCACTCCTGGCTCTGCTTCTCTCATCCCTCTATGTGACAGCAGCATCATAAAACAACTGAAACGTATTCTGTCTTTTGGCCTTTGACAGGTCACCTCAGGATTATTACTGCCCGCCGTTTGACCTCCATTTAAAAACTTGGTGGATGTGCCCCTGCCCTTTAAAACCCAACATATCACAAATTAACCATAAAAAAAAAAAAAACTAATTCTCACATCATTTGATCCAATTTTGATTGTTTGCGTTTAACTGCATAATGGGAGGCAAGAATAACACTTTTTAATTATCATTCCACTGCAATGCATGTCGCCCAGAGACCATTAAAATGAATTATTGGGAAACTTAAGGACGCCTTGGCCTGCATGACTCGCACATATCGCCATCTGCCTGCTGCCCTGGTAAGTTCATTATTTGGCAGCCCAATAAGTATTCTGCAGCCGTTTTTATTTTGAACAGGGCTGGTTTCTGAGACAGAGAAAGACAAAAAAATAAATAAATAATAATAATAAAAAATAAAACACTTTCCATATTTTCACCTCACTAGTTTAAACACCTTGTTGCCAAAACATGCAATCAAATCGATTCGCACCTCCAATCATCCTGCGCACACGCACACAGAGACGGGAGGTCATGGGGAAACAAGGCAGAAGATTCCCTGCTGGTGTCTGTGGATTACTGCGGCTTACCTTGAACCTGCAGCCACAACAGGAAAGCCAACATCCCCGCGAACAGCTCCATGGCTCCTCAACTATCCCGGCGGGTCTCTTCTGATAACCTGAGCGCGGATGGACGGGACTCACTCGAGGCGACAAAGAACACGCATGCAACTTCTGCAAATCCCACTTCGGCCGCAGACTGGTCTACCTCTCCCTCGCTGGGCTGCAGGAGACTTTCGCAAAACTACGTTTTCGGCGGCGCGACTCTCCGTGCCAAAGCATCAATTTCACGTCTGCGACGAATTCCCCCCCGCTGGGTTGGCACTGGGGAGTTTGCTCTGGATGGGGTCCCCGGAATGAGATCCAAGCTGATACAGAGTTCCAGTTAAGAAAATATCAGGCGACGACAAAAAGCGCTGTTGAGTTTTCCTCAGAGGGACTCTTGTAGTTTAACCATCCAGCCTTTGTTGCTCCATCCACCGCTGCGGCTGCTCAACTCTCTCTCTCTTTCTCTCTCTGTCTCTCTCTCTGTTTCTCTCTCTCTCCGCCTTCCTGTATTGTGGATCAGAGGTAAAGTGGGCGGGAGGACCTCGATCGATGCTGCGTTGGGAAGTTTCCAACACTGGGAAGGTAACTCCAAGTATGTGGCCGTTGCTTACAAAAAAACAATCACAACTTCCTCCAGAAAACTGACAGCGCACCTAACGGATCACGCTTTCCAGTTTCAGTTCCGCAAGTTATAAATTCCTCCGGTCTGCAGCAGCTTCAGCAGACTGGGGGGGAGAGAGAGGAGCACGGCCACCCGGCCGATGAAGTTGCAGTGACTCTAGAGAGCTCTATGCACGCTCTTCCGCACTTATCTCGGGATATTTTGGGGACGTGAGATGCAGCGTTGCTGGTCCCGCTTTGCGCAGCGCCCCGCAGATCTGCCACCACAATGTGTTGCCGACTATCGCTGACGCTTTGTTAGGGATCGGGTGACGTTTTTGCTGGGGAGGAGCCTGAACTGTCCTGCAAAATGTTACAGCGAGCAGCGGAACCCTATAGAGAGAAATACTGAGTGGATGAAGAGGAATCAGTAACATTGTAACGTGAAGGTGAAGATGTTAGCTGTTGTTGTTTTTGGCAAGGAAGGGAAGGGAGGGCGGTTCTGGCACACACCCAGGGCAGCACTTTCTAGGGGCGTCACAAGCACCCAAAATGAATTTGATATTGTTTACTTGCATTGTTTACTACTGCACCCTTCCAATTTACATAGTTGTACTCTAATGTAATGTTAAACGAATGTAATAATATTAAATAGGAAACTTTGTTTTGTGTGTTTCTTGTTTTATTTTCTGGCATATTTTATGAAATTGGCTGGCTTACACAAAAAAGCTAAATAAATTGAAATAGAATGGAATTAAATTTCGAGATAAGATATACAAATTAAATATTAAATTTCAGAATTTAAATTCTTTTCATCTGAATAAATTAGTCGACTAAAGTCTTGTACAGTAAGTGAAAAATACACATGTAAAACAACTAAAATGACAAAGTTCGAAACAGAAAACGGGTGATTGTGTGAAAATTTTGTGAGAAAGAGAATATTCATTTTGGGAGGTTTTTGTAAAAACAAAAATGGAAGTTACAGATATGATAGGATGAATTCATCAACAGTGTCGGTTTTTGACGTGGACATTATAACTGAAATAATTGGAGCAATCAAAGTTAGAAAAGGGGGGAAAAGTGCAAAATAAATTTTGAGCTGCATGAACTTTCAGAATTCAAAATTCTGTTTTAATCCTTTTGTCTTGTCAGATTAGCACTATGTTTGATTTAATAAAGCATCCAATTACACTATGTAATTAATTTTTCTCCACTGATTGTAGACTGTTTATATCTAACAGGCTTTGGGGGTTAATGAACCAGAATGAGGGCCTCGCCCAGGGCAACATTTATGCAGAGACCACCACTGCTTATGAGGCTAAAATCCCTCAAACAAACATAAAGCCATGTCTCTTAGCTTGTGGTTTAGTTTCTCAGTTAAAGACAACAACAAAACCCCCCCAGAAAAATGAAAATCAAAACCAAAGCTAAAAATTTGCTGTTCAGAAGGTTTTAACTTGCAAATATGACCATAGAAAAACCCTTGCGTTTATATTTTACAATTTGGTGAGTTTCTTACAGTCTTAAAAGGAAACACAATTCAGATTGAAGGCTGTCCTTCTCACTTTATTTTCTTCCCCCTGTTAAAATTTCACACAAAGCTTGTTTACTAATATTTTCTTAAAGCCTGATCCGCACCACCTCAGATTTCGCAAACTTCCCTTTCCGACGCAATAGAACATTCACATGACAGCTCCATGAATCATGACACCATTTACTGCGAATCAATTAAGTAATTGACAAAGTGTACATTTTTGTGTGAGCAGGGACGCACCGCAGATCCCCTCAATGGCGCCTGCAGCAACCACAGCCAGAGTTCATGTGAACCACAAGCTGAATAAATAAGTCGGGGGGAGGAGGAGGCTGAGTTATGAGCCGATCCGTTACATATTCGAAGCAAAGTAAGAATTTTGTAAATTAAATGTAGAGGAAGAGATGACTGCTCTTATAATTTTTCCTGCCAGAAAAATTAGTCATTATGAGCGTGTGTGCATGGGTGGAGATATATTTTACCTCTTGAGCCATCTGACTAAATGTATGTCGCCCACATTTCCTTATTTTCCTCATATTCCTACTCAGTCATTCATCCTTTTCTCCTGACACATCCGGACAGGATCAAGCCGGTAAAGTTAGGAGGTAAATGGATGGTGGGATGAACGTGATAACACTTCCCTCTTGTGGACAGTGGTTCTTCTGATAATTACAAGTGGCTAGGGTTAACATGCTTAATGTTCAAGCAAGTTCTAAAAAACATTCAGAAGACTTGAACTGTTTCACATTATGTTACGTCACGGCCACAAACTTTTTATGTGACAGATTAGTAATTACACGTTTTATTTATAACTGCCTTTCGAGGCTTTGAAGATTGCTTTACATCAACAACATAGTATATTGTGAAAAAAAGGATCAAATGTTGTTCTACAAACAGAACAACATATGAAATACAGAAGTGTTTGTGGTGTTTCCTGAAGATCCTTCTGTGTTTTTTAATCACTCAACTTTTCAGCGCCGCCTTTATATTTTTATTTTTCTTAGCGTGCTTTCGTTTCTCCCTCTGCACGGCTAATGCAGACCATGAATCTGCAAGTTACATTTTTTATTTGTTTATTAAGAATGTGAACGCTACTAAATTTGATGTTGTGGTTCAAGCACAGGGAAATAAAAATATTTGAAATTGCTTTCTGTACTGTCACAGAAATCACAAGATTTTAGAGAGTCTCTTTATTATTTACTTATTAACAAGGACAAATACATAAAATACACCAAATGTGTGTGTTAGTCCATAGTTCAAAGCAGCCTGTTTGTATACATGTCTGCATGTGTGACATGTTTGTAAGCTAAGCAGTAAGCAGTGTTCGTAACCAGCTGTGTTGGAAGGATGAGACACAACTCATCCTTCCAGTTGCAGCTGAATCTTTTAAATTTTTGAGAAAAACAAAAGTTCATAAGTTTATTGCAGAGGATGGTGGAATTCATGAGGAGAAAGGTGCCAGAGGGCTGGAGAGCATTACTAAATGTAGAAAACAAGGTGCTTGAGTTTTCATTGGATTGAATCAAGGAGGCATAGTAAACAGTTTTTGCAGGAGAAGTGGTGTTTCTGTATTTCAACAGGTGATTGTGTTACATGTCCTTGTGAATAGTAAGTCCAGTTTCCCTTGTGAGACACTCACAAGAGATGCAGTGACCCAGGGGCAGAGCGAGAGGTTTTTGGAGGACCCAACGTGTCCAGAAGGCTTTGCAGTCTTTTATTGTAATGAGATACCTGTTCATCACAGATAGTTACGGTTTCTCTGAGGCGAAGGACGTTAGTAGCAGAAGAGAGAGTTGGGAGATCAATGTTCTTAAAGTTTCTAAATGTGATGGAACAATTTTGAAGAGTGGTAAGTTGGCCTGGAAGGAAACAAGCTTATGATCAGACAAAATAAGAACAAAGTTATTACACCAGCACAAGAAACTAGATCTAGGACATGCACTTTTGAGCGTGTATAAGAGTCAACATACTGCTTCAAATCATGGCTGTCCAAGCTGGATGTGAAGTCCTTTGTGAGGGAGGAGACAGTATTGTGCATGTGAATATTAAAGTCACCAAGCAAAATGACATTTGAAGACATCTTGCATAGGGTCTGAAAATTAATTTAAAAACTCAGGTTTGGGTGACTTGCAGCTAAAATACAGAGAAAAGAACCATAAACTTTCAGTACAATGGATTCAAATGTCGGGTGAGGAGGGTCATGGAGAGAGGAAACCTTCTACTTCTTCTTGTTGTAAAGCATCACAAGGTCACATTCATGTCCGGAGGCGTGAGCGTGGCAAATGTACACAAACCCAGGTGGAGTGCTGAGGTTGAGCTCCTCAATCTCTGCAGGTTGCTGTCAAGTTCTGGTCAAGCAGATACAATCAAATTTATAGTTGTTCACAAGACCACAAGTGGACCCTTGTTGGAGAGAAAGTGCATGCTAAGCAGACCCAGAGGCAACAGTGAGTGGATCCATTATTAGTCTGCCTGGAAAGACTAGCTAGCATGGTGCAGTCAAAAGTCCAGTCAGCCGTCCGCCTGACTTTCTGGTGGGGCGATGACTGGAAGTCCACAAGTACGGAATATTGTTTGCGCTGTAGATGTTATGTTTCTTGGCTTGTCTCTGTATCTGCTCAGCCTCAGTGGATTTCCAGCTGTGCCATCTTCTTTACATGACTGATTAAATTGTTTTCTGATTAAAAGATGCTGAAATCTTGGGAATCTTATTTATAACCTACACCTTTAAAGTTCTTCATAATTTCATTTCCGACCTATCTGTTAAGTACATTGACCTTCACAGTCCTAGTTTACCAATTTTTTCTAATCAATATTACTCCATTAATTATGTGACATTTGAAAGTAACTGGTTATACTTTTTTTTGTATAACCAGTTACACAACATGCTTTTCAAAACATTTTTTAAATGCCAAAAATGTATAAAAGTTACTATTATTTGTTAGATTGTGTTTGTCTTTCATACAAATCTCAATCAATGCGCTGAAATTTCAGCTTGTAAATGTACGAAATTTCAAGAGATATACATAGTCTTGCAAGGTGGTGTATATATTTAACCAAACCTACAAATCTAATATTTTTCCACAAACAAAACCACATACTAATGTAATAAAAAATGGGAAAAAATAACCTTGTCCTGCAAAGGAAGAATGAATAAGATGGTCTGTAAAACAGAAAAAACAGCAGGTGAGTAATATGCCACACCAGCAATCCAGCTAAATGTATTTTGAACAAACATTCGCACAAGAAGCACAGAGATAAACGCAAGTCTTGACATTCTGTTTTGGCAAATGCAAAGTGTTGAGGAGAAAAATTTCCGAAAGCTTCCACCAAAGAAATGGTTTAAACAAATGTAATCACGTCAACAGAATGCTGTTCGCAGCCAAAATGCATTACCGTCTATTGACAAGGTGCATACAGAAGATGGAAATCCACGGATGTATCACAAGATAGCAAGACTGTTTCCTACAGCTTGGAATAAAATAAATTAATACCGTCAATTTCCTTTTGCTGCATTTTATCATTTGGAAGATAATCATTTTATGTTGCAAACATAAGGTCAGAGCTACAGCAACGCCGAGAGACAGGGAAGGGTAAATCGACAAGACATGGAGAATTTGAATGTGAAGAGGAAGGGAAGATAGAATCCTCTCCTCCAAGGTCAACTTCCTCAAGTGTGCCCCCGAGCGAAGCCCTCCATGAGGGCCAGGTGCTCCGGGATACAACTCGAGAGCGTGTAGCTGCATGAGTCAAATATCCACTGAGAAAGAAGGAAAAAAAAACAGCTTCAGTGCTTGACCAAACGTCTTGTGAAAGATAATAGGTTAACAAACTTTGGGTGTGCCCCTTGCCTTTTGTGCGCTCACTCTGATGGCTCCTTCATCGAGCGGATGAGGTGATTGATTTACAGGCAGGCTGATGAAATTTGATACACAGACTCTGAACTACTGACAGTGCCAGAGCTCAAGGCTCAGACCTGTGCTGCTGTGGATCTGAAGGAGCCTTCCTGCATAACAATGTCCATCTGGAGATGGACAAGGAAAGGCAACAGGCTCAACAGTAACAAATAAATATTTATCTTATTTTTATTGATCCAGATGATTATTTAATTTGAAACAAACAAACAAACAACAACAA